GTTCTCATCAGCCCCAGGTATTAGTTGACTTACGTGGAGGAATTAACTCACTAAATAACTTTAATCAGCCAGCATCTTTGGGTCTTCAGAATTTTATGGAGATGGCAGCCTTGAGGCTTGAGGTTGTATTTGTAATCTCTAGATTTTAATATAAATGACCATTTTCTTGCTTTTGTAATGAAGCTTATGATATTTAATGACTGAAAAAGATCATGAAAGGCCAATTTAGTCCATCCTTTTAGGAAAGTTTTGCAGTTTCATTTAGGTGAGAATTATTGATTAATGTGAAATTTGTTGGGCGAATGATTGATGGGAAGCTCAGATTTACAGAGGGCCAGAGTAGCACTAAAGCAATGTCCTGGATAGAAATAGGGACAAATCTATACCATGAGTGCGTTAGGCCTGTCATTCGACCCTTCTGCAGTCATCTTGTTAGTTGTGCTGGGGTTTCCCTTTGTCTGTCATCTGATGTGATATAACACTGTCTAGGGGACCATGTATGGCATTTTGCAGCCAAGACATATTTGACTGTGATATAACACTGCCCAGGGACTGTGTATGGTACATTGTTGTATAGACATATTTGACTGAGTATTTAGATAACATTGGAAATTAAGAACAAATCTACAAGAAATTTAAGAAAAACAGAGACAAAGCCAGACAGAAGATAGACTCTTCTGCATGTTCCCTGTCCTGGCCTCGCCAATAAATGGACACACTAGAAAGAGAGCTTGTGCTGGCTTCCAGTGATGTAGGATAGTGAGCAGAAAGCATTGGGAACTTGTTAGAAGAAACGAGCAGTAAAGGAATTTGTCTTGGAGTGATGGGGCTAGAAGTAGTCTGTGTGGCCAGGGTGTGGTGGCACATGCCTGTAACCCTGCACTTGGGAAACTGAAGCCTGAAGCATCAGGATCTGAGAAGAACCTGGGCTGCATAGTTAGATTCTCTCAGAAACAGAACCGAACCAACCTTTCAAATAGTATGTGTGCTATAGAAAATGAAATGTATTGAAATGGAAAATTAGACCACGCTTACTTAATAAAATGTGTAAGTATAACGGAAGAAAGGACTGGGCCTATGTGTGTTGTGGTGCTCTCTCGGTGATGAGAAGAGGTTTTTCTGCTGTAGGGCCTTGTGTATAAAACACCAATAGCTCAAATGTGGGTTTAAAAATTTATCTTAGTTTTTGTCTTCATCGTTTTCTACAAGGCAAATGTCCTGTTTCTGTGTTAGCAAAGTGTTGTTTTTTAAATTATTTTAATTAATTCTTCAAGAATTTCATACAATATATTTTGATTCCATTCACTCCTTCCATTCACTCCTTTTGACCTTGACTCCTTCCAAATCCTCCTCACCTCCCTGCTCTTGTCCCCTACTTTCTAATAATCTGTTGAGTACAATTTGTGCTGACCATATGCTCCTGGTAGTGGGGCCATCCAGTGGAGCGTGGTGGACCTACCTGGAGCCACACTCTTGAAGAAAACTGACTTTATTCCCTCCAAGCCATCAGCTACCTACAGGTCTTACTCTGTACCCTAGGCTGCCTGTAATTCATGGTGATGTTGGAATTATAAATACGTGCCACCACACCTAGCTAATTGTTTTTTTTTTAAATATTTATTTATTTATTTATTATGTATATAATATTCTGTCTGTGTGTATGCCTGCAGGCCAGAAGAGGGCAGCAGACCCCATTACAGATGGTTGTGAGCCACCATGTGGTTACTGGGAATTGAACTCGGGACGTTTGGAAGAGCAGGCAATGCTCTTAATCTCTGAGCCATCTCTCCAGCCCTGCTAATTGTGTTTTTTAAACTCATATTTAACTGCTATATAAAGGTAATTGCTGGTTGCCTTGGATATATTAGGATATTATAATCTTTTGGACTCTGCTTTGAACTATGTATTTAGATTCTACATGCATGTGCCCTATAAAGGGCAACACTTTTTTTATTATGGAAAGTTTCAAATCTACAACACATAGACTAACTGTACACCGAATTCCCACTACTCACCACCCCAGCTCAGCAATGGTCATGTAAGTAGTTTATTTCTGGCCGCCATTCCTCTCCATGCGCTATTTGAACCGGCTCCCAGATGCCATATCTTTTCACACACGGTTGAATATTTGTACGTAATGCACGAGAACACTATAAATTTATAACATCGTAGTGAATCAAACAGCAGATAGTTTTACTAGCTCATTCTTAATAAGGTCAAGTGAGTAGTTATTGTTTGTATTCCTCAGTTGTTCTAATGATGACTATTTCCTCCGGCTAGATTATTCGAATCAGAGCATAGACAAGTCCCCAGTCTTACATTGTCAATCCACTGGGGTTGTGTGTGATGTGCTGGGGATGAAACCTGGGACCTTCTGCTCCTGACAGCCACCAAGCTCATCAACTGTACCTTCTACCCTTGACTGCCACCCAGCTCATCAACCAGGACCTTCTGCCCCTGACACCCACCCCAGTCCATTAAATTTGTTTAATCTGTTTCTCTTCTCTATCATACCACCATTTCTCATTTCCAATTTCTTTATTTCCTATAATAATGTGTATAGCTGTCTTGCCTGCGTGTATGTCTGAGCACCATATGCATGCAGTACCTGCAGAGGCCAGATGAAGGTGTTGGATCCTTAGGAACTGGAGTTACATAGAGATGCTTATGAGCTAAGAGTGTTGGGAATTAAACCCAAGTCTCTGGAAGAACAGTCAGTGCTCTTAACCACTGAGCTATCTCTTCGAACCCATTACAATTATTATTGTTGTTATTGTTGTTATGTGTGGGAGGGCAATGAGGTGGGCACATATGTTGCGTAAGGGTTGATTCACTCCAGTGGGTTTTGGGGATTGAACTCAGGGCACCAGGCTTGTGCAGTAAAAGCTTTTACCCACTGATCCTTCTCAATGGCTTGCAGTTTATTTCTTGAAATGATTAAGTGGCTGTTTCTAAGTATAATGTAGGATTTCTTACAACCTGTTGTTCTCTGCATGCTTCCTTTTAATGCCCATGGCTAAAAACACTCAAGAATGTCTGAGTTGAATCCCCATTAAAACATATTTGTGAGGTACATTTGCAAATACCTAAATTTCCAGGGAGAGTTGATTTCTATTTTGAAATAATCAAAATTATTTATTATTAATGTGTGTGTGTGCATGTGTGATGTATACCATGTGCCATAGTACACATGCAGAGGTCAGAGGACAACTTTCCTGAGTTAATCTCTCCTTTCTTCTTCATATGGGCTTCAGGGATGGGACTCAGGCTTGTGCATCAAGTGCCGTTATCCCAAGTCATCTTGCCAGGTTCTGGTCCTACAGTCTTACCCATCCTATAGCCTCGGTTATTTCAAGTCATTTTAAGTGGGGCTAGGTCAGGCAGAATGTACTGATTTCCTTTTCATACTCATTAGAAAGTTACCCTGAGATAATGCTCTGATATACTGAGGTTCTTTGGAAATACTGCTTAGAATCCCCACCTCATTTACAAATTCAGTTTTTAGAGTTACACCTATGTTCTATTCTTTTCCTTACTTTACTGTAGAGACTCCTAAGGTCAGGATCCCACTGTCTGACTATTGATTTGTCTCTACTGATTGCAGGTGGAAGATGATAGTGATTCAGAGACCCATGGAGAAGAGAACGACGAGCCAGGAAATTTTTCTAGAAGGAAGATTGTCTCTAACTGGGATCGATATCAAGATACCGAAAAAGAAGTCAGTGATGAAAGTGGAGAATCCCAGCGGGGGACAGATTTCAGTGTCCTCTTGAGCTCTGCAGGTATGAGTTCCACTGTGTGCTGGCTGCTTGCCGGGAAGACTGCATAGACATTTGTTACTTTTTGAAATCGCTTTAAGATATTATAGTGTATGTGTGAGTGTGTATATGGGTGTGTATACTTGTGCCGTGATATGCATGCCGAGGTCAGAGGACAACCTGCAGGACCTGGTTTTCTCATTCTACTCTGTGGGTCTTAGACATAGAACTTAGTTGTCTGACTTGGCAAGCAAGAATCTTCACACACCGAGTTCTCTTGCTGGCCCTTGCCTAGAAGTTCCAATGCCTGCGCTAAACTAAGAATAATAATTGATGAACCTATTCTGAGTAGGAAAAATTGCAAGGGTATTAAATTGTAAGCCAGAAGCACAAGATTCAGTCTGGTGCTGTGAACTGATGTTGCTCATAGCACAGCCCCTTTAGCTGTGGATCTGAAACGCATTCCACTCTAACTACTCAAGACCTCAACTGAGTGCTTCCATCTTGTTACCTGCACTTCGGCCAATTATAATTTATGAACACTTTTTATTCAAGGTAGGAGGAAGAAACAGAGTAAAAATGTAGCTGGCTAGTTAATTCTTATCAGCTATTTGGCTAAAAGATCTTGGAGGAGAAAATTGAAATAATGCAATTAAATTAACTTCTATTCTGCATGTGGGTTTAATGCAATCAGTTGTATAGTTAATTATTTGAAGAGTATCTGGCAATAAGAGATACTGCACATGTATAGTTAATTATTTGAAGAGTATCTGGCAATAAGAGATACTGCATAAATGTTTGATTTCAATTAAAATTCTAGTCTAGGCCAGCAGGCATGTTCTTTGGCTTATGATTTTGGTTATTTCTTTTAGCATTTTATTTACATAATTTAGAGCAAGGCACATGGCTGAATCCTCTGTTATTTTTTGGTAGTCTGCTGACTGATTTCTATGAGGTGTTATTATCTCTGTCTTGGGAGATGGCAGTTGACATGTCTTTGCTGTGCTCTTCTGCTTCCGCTCCTCTCTGCTACTGGTTTGTTTATTGGCGTCTCACTGCGGTACGACACTGGGAAGAGCCCCCTGCCTTTCCATGCATGTTGGTCTCCTGCTGAATTATATTTCATTCTCTAATCCTAACATTTGAAGAACATCCTTTGATACACATTCCCTGCTCCTTACAGTGATTCTGATCTTTTTTGAGATATATATAGTCATGGCAGTTGCTTGGGGTAGGAATTAGTGGGGAATGGCTGTTGCAGTTTTATAGAGTGGCCAGAGAAGGTCTTACTGAGAAGGTAACATTTGACTAAAGTTCTGAGGAAGGTGAGGGAGGAAGCATTGTGGGTATACCTACAAGAGTCTTCCGGGCAAAGACAGCAAGTTCAAAGGCTTTGAGGGAAGAATGCTAATGGATCCTCTCTAAGTAGGATGTATTTCCGTGTATAACAGTTAACTTTGCGGATTGGTACTCGAGGAGGAACTTTCTTTCTCCCCCATTTGGTGTTCACTTGTGTTGATGGATCCCCCCTGGAGCGTTGTTTACTGTAACCCAGGGAAGTTAAGGATCCAGCACTTCCATCTTTGAGGAATCTCTAGAGAATTCTAGCGAATGTGCATGAGTTCATAGATGATTTCTCAGGGGCTCTCAAGTGGAAGCATACCTGCTAATAGTGAAGAGAATGCACAGAGGTATGAGTGAGTCTCTCAGACATCCTGGTGTGCAAAAGAAACATCGCACACCTGTAGGAGACCTCAGTTTCGTTCTGTTTAAACATGGGACCCAGCTGTGCTGGTGTTCACCTGTGATCCAGTGCCTGAAAGGCTGAGGTGGAGGGTCACCTCATTACCTGCACATTGAGACTGTATCTCAAAGGATCAGACACAAGACAAAGTTAACTGTGATATTTAGGAAGAAGAAGAGGGGTAGTGGTTAGGGAGAGGCATACAGCAGGTGTGTAGGCCTGGGCACTCCTGTGACATTGGTTGTGCTCCGTTTGCCTGGATGATGGTTACCTTGGCTTAATAATTATTCTTTAAATTGTTCATATGTATTCTGTATTTTTTTGGAGGGAGGGTTTCAAGAAGAGTTTCTGTGTGTAACTGTCTTCGAACTCATTTTGTAGACCAAGTTGGCCTTGAACCCACAGAGATCTGCTACTTCTGCCTCAGGAGTGCTGGGATTTTAATTTTACAAGTCTTCCAATAAAAGACACTCTTTTGTAGAACTCATCAACTTGTACAGACAGGCACTGCCTGCCTTGAGTCTTTAGCCGTGGTTGGCAGCATCTACATTCTTATTTCCAGAGGACATGGGAAGGCATATGGTTTGTTCTAGGTCATACTCATTCTGATGGGACAGGGAATTTGCAGCTGTCTGCTCTTCCTGTAAGCCACTGAACAAGATAACTAGGTCACTAACTTTTGTTTCTAAATAATGTTCTTCTAATCTTCAGGTATGCTTTAAGAATTGGGTAATGGGGGCTGGCGAGATGGGTCCCTGGCTAAGAACACTTGCAGAGGATAAGGGCTCAGTTTCCAGCACCCACGTGGTTGTTGACAACTGTCTGTAACTACAGATCCAGGTGATCCAGTGCACTCTTCCAGCCTCTGCAGGAGCCATCCCTGCATATGGTACACACACATGTATGTAGGCAAAGCATTCAGACACATAGAATAAATAAGTTTAAAATAAAGTTTGGAAGTGGGCTGGTTATGGTGGTGCATGCCTTTAGTCCTAGAACTCTGGAGACAGAGGCAGGAGGATCTTTGTGAATCTGAGGATAATCTGGTGAGCTTCTGGACATCCAGGAATATAAAGAGAGACCCTGTCTCAAAAAAANAAAAAAAAAAAAAGAAAAAACAACCCATCAAAAACAAAAAACCCAAAACCAACAACAGCAACAAAACCAACCAAAACCAATAACAGTAAAAGTTTGGAAGTGGTAGCCTGTCCTCATGTACCGTCAGGGTTAAACTGGTATAAATAATAAGTCTTCAAGCAGTTTTTTTTTTTTCTTTCTTACTAACTCCCATCCCAGTAGTCATTTACTGAGTTCATGCCATGAGGACTGTCGGTTCCTTTCAAGATGCCACTCATTACCAGAGTTCCAAAGTGTTCATATTGCAAGCACAACACTAGGCTAAAACTGAAGATAAACATGGAAGAAAAAAAATGAGGTCTGAGTGTATCGGCTCTGTTTAATTTTTAGCGAAAATATGAAAATGGCATGATTAGATAAGTTTGCTCATAGAGTTATTGAAGAACCAGTCTGTCTCCATTTTAGCCTTAAGAGTCATCGTATAATAGTAAAGACAAACTAGGTTCATTCCTGATTATGATTAAACCTCTGTTTCTCAAGAACTGGGCTATGTCCCACCTGTAACCTTAACTACAAATGGCTCTGCACTGCCCGTTCCAGGAATGGCAATTATGTCTTTGTTTCAAAAAGTTGCTTATAAGCATCTTGTAACTCTACCTTTGTTTCAGAAGGTTAGATGACCGCCTATGACTCCCTTGTTATGCCCACCTTCCAACCATGTCTTTATGTCAGGAGGTCTTTAGGTCTAACTTGTTTGTCCTGCTGCTCTAACCCGACATGTTTTGCTTGCCAAATCCCTGTTTGGAAACCCCCTTATACTTGAGCTATAAAACCTTTTCTTTCTGCCCTTGCTTAGGGTTATTTACCTTTTGCTTTGTTTTGCCCCCCCCCCCCCCTTTTAAAGTACTCTTCCTTGGAAAGTATTAGGCGGTTTGTGCCTTTACATCAGAGTGTCTGGGCTATGAGTAAGATCTGTATAAAATTTTTTAGCAGATTCAGTACCTTAAACACCATGAGTAGAGAATATCTTGTACTCAGCCTTACGTTCTAGTATTTCCAGTTTATAAGGTTGCACCAGTTGTGTCTGTTTGCATCTTGTTCCTAATGCTCATTAATGGTCTGAGAGTTTGTACTCAACAGAAAGGTTTGTTTTTAGTTTTATCTTCATATATTTCCAAAAGTACTATCCAGTTTGCTCAACACTGCTGCTGTTATATAATAGTCTGTAATATAGACTTAAGATTTATGATTTTTATTTTATATGTATTGGTGTTTTCTCTACATGTATGTATGTGCACCACATGCATAGGCCAAGAGAGGGTATCAGATGCTCTGGAACAAAAATGTTTTTGTGACATCTATATATTTCTTTGTGTGCTGATGGGATATGCACACCAGGAGCACGTGGAGGCCAGTGAATTTTACTCTGTCCAGTGTCAACACCATCATCAGTTTTGGTAGCTGTGCTTTTTTCTTTTCCCAGTCCTCTGGGCCAGTGGGTGTCACAAGACACAAGATCACTGCTTGTGACTGCACAGTCTTTAAGTTCATTTTCGAGTTGAGTGTTGGTTTGCTCAGATAATTAAGATTTTTTTTATAGTTTTTTTTTTTTTTTTTGTTAGAGTTTCTCTGTGTAGCTTTGGAGCCTGTCCTGGCACTTGCTCTGTAGACCAGGCTGGCGTCTGCCTCCTAAGTACTGGGATTAAAGGTGTGTTCCACTACTGCCTGGCTGATTATTCTTATTTCTAGTAAGAGAAAATTAGCAGGTTTTTTTTGGGTTTGACTTATATTCCAGATACCCTTCAGGCTGACAGGTGCCTACTTAACCTCACCGTCAAGTCTGGGTATTATCCTAACAGCATGTAGCACGTTCTTTTCAATCACTCCTGCCTCCTTTCTGCTTGGCTATAATACCTGCTTGTTTTAGTAACTGTTCTATTTTTGTGAAGAGACACCATGACCAAGGCAACTCTTATAAAAGAAAGCACTTAATTGGGGCCTGCCTACATTTTCAGATGGCTAGTCTATTATCATAATGGCCGGAAACATGGCAGCATGCAGGTGGGCATGGTACTGGAGAAGTAGCTGAGAGCTTTACAGCCTGATCCTTACGCAGCAAGCAGGAGGGGGAGGGGAGGGGAATGAGAGGAGGGAGAAGAATTGGCACAGCTTTTTGAAACCTCAGAGCTCACCCCTAGTGACA